AAATCTGTTTAGTTTTGCAAGGTGCTAAAACTGCTTTATTTGTCAGGTTGGAAGAGATGTTACTGAGTGCTTGGAACAAGCTATGAACAGAAAGGGTCTCAACATAAGGGTCACAGCACTTGTAAGTTTCTGTTTCCTGTCATCACAAGAAAAGTAATCCTAGTAATGTAAGGTCGTTTATGGAACTACAAATGTTAAGTTTCTTTCGAAGCTTAATACAGAAACTTTAACAGAATGTTAATATTTTGTTCAGAGCAATTTTTACAAGTTATGCATGTTTTGCTGCTACATTGTGTTATGTGTGTAGGATGGACGGAAGAAGCACGGAAAAACGTAAGTGTGACTTACTAGCCAACAATAAGATGTAGTTCCTAAGATCTTTGTGGCTTAAGTCTCTGGATTCTCAGTTATATCAAAGCCTTTACTATCTTTTTTCTCCTATCACATGCACCATCATAGGAACATAGATATTAACTATATGCAAGGAACAGAAAAGGTAAGAGGAAGTTTACAAATTTGTTGTTAGGAGACTGGATATTGTTATAACTTATAATAGTTTATATTTGAAGGTTGAAAGATTACCTCTCTATGTCACAGACACACACCCGAGAAAGGCATATTGGCCTACAAACCAGTTGTAAATTATGTGACTCCCTTTTGTCCTTGGATTGGATTATAAGTTGGTGGTAAATTGAATTACTTGGAGGTTATGAGTCAATTTTTCTTTCAAGCAGATAAATGACACTGTGGGAACATTAGCTCATGGACATTATCACGATGCTGACACCGTTGCTGCAGTGATAATTGGAACTGGTACCAATGCCTGTTATTTGGAGCGTACAGATGCTATTATCAAGTGTCAGGGACTTCTTACAACCTCTGGATTCATGGTAGGCAGTCGTCTTTAATCTTTATTTTCTCATATTTTACATTGCTGCTATTATTTTGAAAATTTATACGATTGTCTGAACTCTGAAGTTACTATTTTCTTGATCAGGTTGTTAACATGGAGTGGGGGAATTTTTGGTCCTCTCATTTGCCTAGAACTTATGATATTGATTTGGATTTTGACAGCCCCAATCCGAATGATCAGGTACTGAGTTTTCCCTTTTTCTAGAATTTAATCGTATATGGCGATTAATTTATACTTTTGCGTGAGTATCCTGCAGGGCTTTGAGAAAATGATATCAGGGATGCATCTGGGTGACATTGTGAGAAGAGTGATTCTTAGAATGTCGCAAGAATCTGATATTTTTGGGTCAGCTTCATCTAGGTTATCTATTCCATTTGTGTTGACGTATGTTCCCTTCTCTCAAGTGACTATTCAAATTGAATTTATGACTTTGGCCATTCTTTCTGTAAAAGAATAAATGGAAGTGAGTTTCAGTTGCATTTGATTCATATTGTATAATGTACAAACTAGAGTTGCAAGAACTGTCCTATTTTATTTCCTCTCAGTTTTGTTGTTGATTTTATTTGGATTTGGTTTACTTTTAACCGGTTTAAGCGACTAGTTACTGATTGCTTTTACGTGTCCAGAACACCTCTAATGGCTGAAATGCATGAAGACGATTCGGCGAACTTGAGAGAAGTAGCAAGGATCTTGAGAGACATTTTAGGGGTAGAATTTTTTAAAACATTAGGACATCCCATCCATTCCTCTTTTCTTTTCCAACTTGACACAAAATTCAGAAAACTAATATCTCTTCTCTCTATGCATCTGCTCTTCCAGATCCCTGAAGTCCCGTTAAAGGCTCGGAAACTTGTAGTAAGAATATGTGATGCGGTGACCCGCCGAGCTGCCCGGTTGGTGGCTGCTGGCATTGTGGGCATCCTAAAGAAGATGGGGCGGGACGGAACAGGTGGAATTGCAGGAGTAAGAAGTAGGACCGATGTGAATATCAAAAGAACAGTGGTGGCAGTTGAGGGGGGATTATATACTAATTACACAATGTTCAGAGAGTACTTGCACGAAGCACTGAGCGAGATACTGGGAGATGTTGCCAAAAATGTAATTCTTAGGGTAACTGAATATGGATCCGGCATTGGAGCAGCTCTTCTTGCGGCATCACATTCATCCAATTGATAGCACAGATTTCCACATATATATATTTATATATGAATATATATAAATTGATATATATATTATATATACATATAGAGATCCTGTAAAGTTAGAGAAATTCATTTCCTCAGCATGTGATGTCTCTCTGTAAAAATGGAAAAAAAGGAAGAAGGGATTTGTATTATTTGAAAGTGGAATTGTCAATATCTTGTTCCCTGCAATTATTTGTAAGCTAAATGTCAACTTCATTGGCTGGCTCTTGGAACTGAAGGAGTTGGTATTTTCTGGATTTCACCATTTTTGATGTGGGACTTGACCATTTTTTTGTGCCTTTTCTTCTATTGTTGCATCAGCTTCAGCTTCAGCAGAGCCGTAGGATGCTGATGAGAGAGGGGAATATTTTTAGTGTTGACAAAGACGTGGGTCTGCCCATCTCCATTCTCCATAGGTGCATTCAACAGGTTCAATATTTGGCCTTGTAAGCAATTCTTTTCCCAATTCCAATTACTATAACAGTGAAAAGGATGTCATATCAAAAAAGAAAAAGCTTTCAAGAGAAAAAAAAAATGTAAATTTTTTGTTTACTTCATTTATCTTATTGTAATTGCATGTTAAATTCTTTCCCTTTTTTTGTTTGTCCGTTTTATCTTTAAAGTTGGTGGGAGGATTGCAAATTGGGTTCTCTATGCCTTTTGTCGGTTAAATTATCACTACAGGATGAGCACGCATGTTCAACATTTTGCATAAATTTCGGATAAATGCATTTTGTACGAGTGATGCTGAATCATTTAGGGCATCTTCAAATTGTTTTTAGATTTTATGACCTAAATGGTGAAATCTGTATTTTTAGATTTTGAATTGCAAGCGCATAATCACATTAAAAACCATTAAAATTTTATCAATATACTATTTCATTTATTAAATTTATTTTGTTTTTGTTAAAATTAAAACATGTAAAATATATTATTAATATGAATTATATAATATTGTAAATTAATTATACGACAAAATTTATAACGTATAGTAGTAAATTATTTAATATTAGATTGGATTAAACTAAATATTTAATTAGTAATTGTTATTAATTTAAAAAAAAACCACTATTAGTTTAGTGATATATGATATATTCTTTGAACAATTGTTAAATTAAGATTTAAATTCTAAGTTTGCTATCAAATACATATTTCAAAATATAAAAAATGTGAAATATTTTTTAATGTTTGGGTTTTTGTTCTGATTTTGTACTTAGTCTCCAAAAAGGTACCTTTTAGTTCAATCTTGTATTTATATATTTTTTAAATTGAATTAGAAAATTGTCCATAAATTAATTAATGAATAAATCAGGTCATTGAAACATTCAAAATCAGATAATAGGAATGCTCAAATCCAACTATGAAAATACGGAATTTAAACTCGATGAAGTAATAAAGAAATGTTTCTCAGCCTCCACATTATTGAACTAGAAAAGGAGACGTTACAAGAATTTTTATTGATATGCTAATTCATTTCTAACTTCATCTTAAAATTGTGAAAATGCCATATGGGTGCTCAAAAGTTAATATACGTTGGAGTATAGATATTAGAGTATATTTTATATTATTGTATTAATATTAATTTGTTGTTTGTACTTTATTTTTTTCTGATAACATTAGGTCAACCTTGTATATTTGTCTATATATATAGACTTCAGTAATGAGAAAAAGAATAATCGGGTTCTTTGAAATCTTAGTTTCTACACTATAGACTTTTTTTTTTCTTTTTAAGATGAATTTCGTGGTTCCTATAATTTTTTTTTTAATGCTATATGGGTGCTCACTAGTTCTTTTCCAATTGTAATAATTCATGTAATTAGTGAAAAACTTCCCAAAAGAGAAGGGACTTGAATTAAAATTTTATCACAAATTGGCACATTTATATAAAATTATATGTTATTTAATTGAGAACAATTATAATTTAACAAAAGTATTTAAATAAAATTAAAAACATTATATCGGCTAATTAAATAATATTATATTTTGCTAATTGAGTTAGAATTATCTATCTAATATTCATTAACCTTAAAATTTCGGGATTATATTCATTAACCGTTTTTCTTAGAACAATATTCATTAACTTATGTTAAATTAAATTCCTCTAAAAAACTCTTAAAAGGAGTAAGCAGGATGGAGAACTTTGAAATGAGAACAAAATATGGGTCATCACTTGAAATTTCCACATATAACACAGTAGGAGGGCATATAATATCTAAGAAATGAAGCACACATCAGGAAAGAGTAAACAACAAAAAATAAATCATTTGGTAATCTCCTCTCTCAAGTGCAAAAAGAGAGAAGGAGAGACAAATCCTAGTTTCTCCAAGTAAAACTAAGCTGCTGTTGGAGGCTTGTACAATTTCTCCACCATTTTCCGATATTCTACACCAAACACAGACACACACACAAACATAAACAAGTGAGTCAAAACTTGCATCACACAAATAGAGAAGAAAAATAGTGTTGTTTCAATGGAAACCCACCTTCTTGATTGGACCACATTTGAGCTGCCTGGGTGTTTAGAGGTGAACTTATGTTTGGTTCTGCACATAAATGGCAAAAGCTCATACCAATTCTATATTCCATTCAAAAGTATAAGGATTCAGATTGATATAGAACTATAATTTCAAGATTGAAATTAACCTCCAAGCAGACTCTGGATGGATAGAAGTATAGTTCTCACATCATAGGCTGATGACCATTTATCCTGTGCAAAACCAGATTGTTGTTTATCCTCACAAATCAGAGAAGTAAGAGTTGAGATTTTTGAATCGGCCATTTGTGAATTACCTGAAGTATGTCCAAGCAAATATTGCCATAAACGTCCACATTTGGGTGGAAACAGCCAGTCTCGAACTTCACCTTTGGAGGCTTGAACGGGTAATCGTTGGGAAATGAAAGTGATAATCTGTACTCTGTTCCTTCAAACACTGTGTCTTTGCTTCCCGTAATTGTCCCTTTCCAGCACAATATGTTGTCCTCGTCTGGAAACGCTGAGATCCCAGACTCTCCGCTTATCTGAAATTTCACAACACATTTGATTGATTACGGGCAGTCTAGTCGCAAACTTTTAGAATCATATTTCAGAATTCAACAGTCCAAAATATCAGATGTGTCTTACCATTAGAGCCATTAATTCAGACTGCAACCTGATTGGAAGAAACACAAAAACAAGCAGAGGAAGATTAACCATAAACCCTAAAAAGAATGAGGTTGATCCTGGAAACGCTCGGATTGAAATTAACCATAAACCCTAAAAAAATAATTGAGGGAGACCAAAGAGTAATCGATCGCAAAATCTGCTCGAACTAAAAGAGTATGAAATTCGGAACCCTAGGCACAGAGAAGGGCTCGATCCGCAGCGATATAGGAATCGAAACACGAAAGATGGGGAAATGTTAGTACCTTTTGAGAACAGACTGAGAGTCCGCGGCTTTCGGCGGTGGTAAGGATTGCTTGGCCGGAGAAACAACAGGGTTAGCCGGCGTGGTGTTGTCGGTGTATCGATTAATGGCCGCCATTCTTGATCTGAATTGCAGAAGAAGATACGAAGAATTCGAGAAGGATCAGATCAAGAAAGGGCGAAGCTGTTCTCTGTCCTCTTGGAGAGAGAGCAGAGCAGAGCAGAGCAGAGCAGAGAGAGAGAGAGAAGCGGAGCAGAGGGGGAAATGGAGAACGGAGGGCTTAAAACGACGCTACAAATTCAAAAATTTTTGTGAACGTTATGGTGGCGATGGAGAAGATTCCAATTAGGTTGCTTTTTGAATTTCCAACGGCTACTTTTCGGTCCTCTCCTCTGCTTTAAATGCCACTTTATTTTACAGGGTTTATTTTATTTTATTTTTATATTTTATATTTTTATTTTTAATAAATAAAATACAACTGCTCCCAGTCACCCACCACCTAATAAAAATAATGAGTACCTTTATTTTAAATTTCGAATAAAATATTTAATAAAGTTATGAAATCAAAGTATGGTCCGCAACATTTATGAAAATTTAAAATAAATGATTAAGCATTAACTATCGTAATTTCCTACAAAACTAGTATAGTTCAACGTTAATTGATATGTATCTTAAGAGGTTGTGAGTCTGATCATCATCCTCACATGTTGTACTGAACAAAATTATAGTAAAAAACTATGCTAATTTCTTCAAGGTTAGTTTTTTTATTGGATAAAATAAAATTATTATCTTTTAATTGCTTCTCGGTTTTTTTTTCCTCATTCTCTGTGATGGGTTAGACTTGCATTACAACAAAGAAAATGATATAATTTTTCGAAACTATAATATTAACCCTTGAAAATTTTTATTTTACAAATTGGTACTAAGCGAACATCTTGATTTGAAAAAAAAAAAATTGGGCGTTTTGTTGTTAGATTTTTATTTCTTCTTTCTTAGTTTGCAACTTATTTAAAATATAGATTATTAAATTAAATTTGATGAACTATATTTTCGGGAAGAAAAATAATTTCAAGGTGATGCATCCATATGGAATACATCAGAATGAAAAGACACAGGGTCAAATGACGCATTTGCACAAAGGACAAACCCCACCCTACTTTTCAAAATAGTTTCGAAACTATCCTCTTTTCCCCATTTTTTTTAATAGAAAATTCTAGTATTCCAAAATTCCTGTTTAATTGCAACATTTCGTAAAGTTTGAGGATATGATTCTAACGCTGGTTTCTATGGTTTAAAAATATATATAACATGAGTCTAGCTCAACTAGATATGTACCCACCAAAAAGTTGTATATTCGAACTCTAGTCCCACATATTTTTGTATTAAAAATAAAAATAAAAAAGAGTCACGATATGACAAAGCTAGGTACTATTTTGATAGTCATTATTATGATTTCCTATACTAAAACAATGTTTTTAATTTTAACCATCAAGCCTCGTTTGACAATATTCTCGTTTCCAATTTTATCGAGGAATCTAGCTTTTTACAGCTATTTACGTTTCTTGTCGATCATTTTTTAAAAACATTCTCAAAATTGTTTAGAAATTCGATTAACAAGTTTCTTGTTTTTCTACTCCGGTTCCCAATTCGATTCAACATAACTAAGAATCTTGTTTTATCATTTTCTTTCATTCATGTGTGGGGTCATGTAATTATATTTTTTTTGTTGAAAAAGAGGAAACAAAAACAAGAAACGAAAAGATTACCAAACGGTTTCGTCTCCTTTAGAGGCAGATCCTTCACTTTCTTTCTTCTTTTATGTATAGACAGATTTTTGCAGCAGCACAATACATATGTCTACAATAATGAAGAGCGCAGACCAAACCAAGTTGTTCTATCTGTTTCAGAAGCCACCTTCTTCCTTGTTCAGATATATTCAACATATAAAAATATACATCACTCACTTTCATGGGAGAATCACCATACAATCCAACCTCACAGTTCATTTTAAGAAAAAAGAATTGACTTCAGAGTTCACAATGCTTTTTTTTTTTTTTTTCTGTTTCTGGAGGAGATCTCAAGCTACCAAATGGGTACTGGCAGAGGAGTTAGCAGAACGGTTAAGGAAGCAGACTTTTGTAAGCTTGCTCGCTGTTTAACTTCATTCAGCAACTGTCTTTTTGTTAGCAGTGCAGTTTTATGACCCTTGTTACCTTCTCCAAGAAGGTTGGGCACATACTCGTGCTGAACATGATGACCTCCTTCATCCATTCTGGGGCTACTCTCTCAAAAGTACCCAGAGATATGACCCGGTACAGGATCTCCGTGTCTCCGCCCAATTTATTTATCCACGTTAGACTGAATGAGTAACCTGGTATAACCAAGGTGTAAAAAATAGTAAATTGTCACCAATTTCTCCAGATATCCTAGAAGTAACAGCCACAATGGAGGAGGAGAACAAGCCTAATTTGCAACTCCTAAAAGCTAAACCAGCCACTATGACTAGGCAATACCAATTTGCAATGACAATAATTGATTAATCAAAAAGATAGATGCAACTATACGAAGTTATCAAATGGCATAATCTAAAACTATAAAACGTCAATATCCAATTTTCAAGTTACCACTTGATTTATGAATGGCTGATATGCATATTCCTTCATTTCGATTGGTGGTTGATAATTCCATGCCCATCAAGTGCTCCACAAGACATTGATATGGGCAATTGGTGGAAACGTTGTCATTTACTCTGCCATCTATAGACCAATTTGAGGATTAAATTACAGCAACGCCATCATGCCAACATAATGATATCTTTACATCTACCAATACCAACCTGATTGTTCACTATTTCTTCCACAGCACTCTGGCTGCAGCATTGCGTTGAAAATATAAGAGAGGAGAAAACCAAACGTATTTACTTAAAAAAAAAAAAATCATTAATCAGATATACCAGCTGCATGTTGGCACTGGACGCAGCTTTCTGGGATAACTCACGTGTTGATTGCCTTAGCACGGGATCATCTTGAGCACTTGCATGAAGTGTTCTGAGTTCATCTGTCACTGGAGCAGCCTCCCTGGAGCGCTTTCTTGTATTTCCTCCTGACGAGGCTTTTGATACTTCTCCACTAGGCGTATGCAGTTCATTACTTATTACATTGTTAAAACCACCAAAATTTCCCTCCTGCTGAAGTTTTTGAAGCTTCTCAACTTTTTCAGAGAGAGTATTATCTGGATTATATTAATCCCATATGAAACATTTGTTAGGCAATTGGCACACGAATGCTTGTCAATGAGATATAATTAGTGTAATGCAAAATGAATCTCTGTTAACAGATTCCAATAATTAAATATAATTGACAATGGACAGGAAGGTGAAGGATACAAGCTACAGTGAACCAGGAAGTCAAGCTCTAGTGGGATCCCAACAACTGAATTTAAAGAAGATGAATTGGAAGATCGTACTCACAGGCATTTAATCATAGGGGAATGCATCTATAACCTAGACAATTCACGCGAAACAAATCTCTAGATACTGCACGAGCTAAATTAGCAATTTAACCTGTTGTTAAGTCTGGTTACATCTTACAGATGTTAAACCACCTTAACTTACTTAATGCCGCCAATCAGAAAACATACATCTCAAACTAAGTGGTGACTCTACAATAACGTGTTTCCATTTCAGTAGTAAAAAAGCAATTAAGGTATTATCACCTTCTTGGAAAAAAAAATCCTACATTTCGTACTTACTATGTTACACTAGTTACCCAAGCGTTAGTTTCGAGTTCTTATCTATGGATACAAACCCCAAATAACCTTAGCTTTCATTAGAACCCAAGGCATAGTAATTGTGGAATGTGGACTCTCTCCTCGTTGGAAAGCATAATTTGTGAATTGCTCAATATGAACACTTCTCACTAGAATTGACTTAGAAATTCATAGATGCAAATGATTTTGAGCTACAGATAATGTGCGTCTCTTACTCCTTTGATGCTCTTCCATTAATGGCTTCTGATAATCAGCACATTTTGCATCCATGTTGGACCTGCAACCATACTAGCACACCGTGTTAGCCCATCGAGCAGCAGGTAATAACGTTGCTGGATCCATTCAATCAAACAAATTTCAAGAACAGAAGAACACAAAATATAATGATAACTAGACAGATGCTATTGGTATTTTTTAATCCATACCTGGCTGAAGCCACTTCATCACTCAATTCATTAACCTGTAGACGCAATCTGTCATTTTCACTTTTCAAATGTTGTATCAACTCCTCTGCAGCTGAAAATGAGCAAGAAAATACCAATCCAGGTGTAAGCCGAGAAGCTAAAACATACCACAGTTCAACAACACAACAGTAAAAACAAAACTTCAATCCTTTTGCCTTAAACCTTTGATACCACATGAGATAAACAGACATGGAAAGGTTAATGCCCATACCAGACACATAATTCAAAAATTTTACTTCTTGATCCTTACTGAGCTGGTCAAAGTCAGACATCTTTTTTGTCTGTAAAAGATATGCAACCGTAAGTAAGATGGGTAGTCGAGAATTCAATTTTGGTATGCAGACAAACGATGCATAGAGAGGTACTTAAATTATTGAGGAACAACAAAAGGATAATTTTTCAGATTCATATATAAAATAATTTAAAATAAAGGAAGTAAGTTGTAGATAAGATCCAACTTCATTCAATTGGATATCACTTGCCTTACCCATGAAAACAAAATTATTCAATGCATTCCGTATCAAAACATTGCATAATCGAGTACAAGATAAAAGGCAAGGAAAAATCTTCAACAATCTGGAGAAATTCAATCATCCAATAAAATAAAACAGCCATACACCTTAAGTTTAGTGTACTTGTCGTAGAGCTTTTTATAGAGAGCCTCCATCTGCGAAAAATTGTCGTGGAAAGGAATTCAAATAAGCAGGACTACGTGAGTGAAAACTAAATCAACAAATATGTTCTTTCGGTAGTAACAACGCCATTCTGGGAAACCCTAAATTAACAAAATCTGATGAACAAGAAGTACTTACAAGTCCCGTTTGGCTTCCCAGAGAAACTGGGAACGGAAAAACTGCAAATGAAAACTATTGCGGTGCCAGAATCTGTAAAACGAGGAGAATTTTAGTTTGAGAAACTTTCTTTCACTACACTTCAGTTTCTCAGCCTCCAAACAGCGAAATCTCGAGGAAATGAAAACATATATCATAACAGAAAGCTTCTAGACCTTCAATTTACCACAAATTTGCTCAAGCTTTAGGATTGCAAGCCGAAAACACGCGGGAAATAGAGATTGAAAATCGCAGGGGGAAACGTTGGGAGAAATGTGGTATATTTCGCAAAAGAAAATGAAAATTAAATTATAAAATACTTGTTGGCGGTGGCGCGTCTCCTTCAGTGAGCTCGCTCCGGCAACTAGAAGTGATGGGGTTTTTCCGAAAATTAACAAATAAATAACAGAAATTAATTAATTAAAGTTTAAATTTTTTTAATATGGAAAAGTACGTATATATATCTACACACACATTGTTTGTTAAATGTTAGTAATAAAAATAAACAAACAATGAATCACATGAGAAAATATTTGTTATACTTTATCTTTTTTTTTTTCAAAAGACGATATTATTATTTTAAAAATAATTGAATTACATTGCATTGTTAACTATGTGCAAGGAAAAACCTAGATAAAGAAAGCAAACTCTAACACTCAAGTTAATAATAGTCCAAGGTATAAGTCTTCATATGGGCAATTAGATTGACATGAATACAAAGTGAGGCCTCATATTTATAGACGTAGACTGGTGGATCCCACTCGCCTATCACTTTCCACGGTCGCGAAATCTACTATGCAAATAGATGACAGTTACAAGCGGTTTTGGGGCATACATCGGCTTGACCTTTAACGAGATTGAAGCTTAATCGAGACTTCAACATGCTATTCGTCGTTATTAGGGGATGAGAAGTTATAACTCTATCCCTCATGACCTATCATTGGGGGATAAGGAGCTTCACATTGGACCTTAATGATAATCCTTATTATTTTAGTTCATATACTCCCGAAATACTAAATTGAGTACTTTTAAAAAATGACCGTTTTGATCCCTTCATTTAATTTTTTATGTAATTTTTTTCAATCACAATTTCAACGTGGTCACTACCCTCAATTGAATTGTAATCATAATTTTGTATTAAAAAGTTTATGTTGTGTATGAAATGTGTTAAAATTTTGCAAATAAATACTAAATTGACCAATTTTTTAAAACAATATATGTACCAAAACAAGCATTTTGAAAGTACATGATCTAAAATAAACCAAAGTTCAATGACAAAATAGACATTTTAAAAATATAAAACCAAAATAAACCAAACTTGAAATTACATAGACTAAAATAGTATTTTGACCTTAATGATTTAACTAACCATGAATTAAATTTAATTAAACAATTTATCATATAATTTCAGCATACTTCCCTCTATAAGAATTAACTCATGACAATTTCAGCATACCTTTTTTTTTTCCGAGTAAAACTCTTTCAGCATACTTGCTCTATAATTAACTAATAAATACATTCTTATCAATTAAAATGAGTAAAGACAACTAACAGTATACTTATTTTATATGAAATTACTGTGTTCATGCCCATCCTCAGTAGCTGTATTTTTCAGCATCAGAGGTAGCAGAAGCACCTCTTTCACTCTTTAGAAACAATCCTTTTTCAATATAACATTTAAATGGGGTGGATCCTCCTATTAAGTGGCCTGCCCCATTTGAACATTGCCAAAAAACAAGCACTTGGACTGCAGGAAGTGTCCCGTTTCCATTTCAACAAAATTAGTGAACAATATCGACATCTTCGATTATTTTACGAGCTCTTTAACACCGCCAGAGCTTCCTTCGTCGTAGCAGAGATGACAGCATCTGAGGCGTTCGGTAAGTAATAATATTTTCCTGCAGAAAATGGAATAACGATGGGTAAGATCTTCTGCAACTGTGCTCAATGATTGAACAACCCTTTTTACTTGAAAATGTAACAAACCTTGAGCTACTCTAGCAATCTCCTTTGCAAAACCAGTTGATACAAACTTGTTTTCAGTATCGATGACGAGGAGAGACATTCCTGATTTGTATATTTTCCCGGCCACTTCGAGAATCTCATCCTTCATTTAAAATGACCATATAACATAAAAATCAGTGAAGAGCATACTTGGTAGTGATTTTAGCAAAAAATAGCTTGCAAGTATGGGTGACAAAGCACATCAAAGAGAGGTTCGTGAGGACAAAGCACTTGATACCTTCAATTCTTGTGCTGAAGGTCTTGGTGCATCAGCAGCAGCAGCAGCTTCAGGATCAGTGGATCTTTTCAGTGATATGTTGGCTCTGCCATCAGTCAATACAACAATCATCACTCTTCCTACATCCCCACTTTTCTCAGCATTTAATCCAACCCTTACAGCCTGGAAAAGTGGATCGAAAACAATTTTAGGACAGATGTATTTAACTTGCTACCATTACAACCAGACCAGGGAGTTCATCGAAGGAAATGGGCCCACTGCTTGCAGAAGAATAAGGACTTGTACAAGTCATGAATGAGTTGAAAGAAAAAGACGCAATATAACTATAATACTGAGCTTTTACTATCACTTCCTTTTAAATATCCCACTTTTTTAGTCCATCAAACAATAGAAAACAGTAATATCGACTTCAGGAGAACGGGGACCATGAGAGCCTAAAGTCAGAGATAAACATTTAAGATGTTGAATGTTAGATGTTTCTTCTTTTTCTCCCTCCTAAAGAGATATTTAATGAGGATGTTTGCTCTACTAACATCGTTTGAAAAATCTTCCTTGAGATTGTAAAAAATATATATATATATATACTCACTGTGGTAAGACCATGGGCCAGGGGAGATCCTCCACCACAAGGAAGTCTCTCAAGACGTTTTCTTGCCATAGCAATAGATCTGGAAGGAGGTAGCAGAACTTCAGCACAATCTCCACGGAAAGGAATAATCGAAACCTGTAAAGTAATTATTAAATATAAAAGCACATTACTATAAAGCCAAATAACATATAGAGTTCTTCATAAAAATAGAAGTATTGACCATACTAGCTTAAACAATCAGAAAATTAGAATTCAGGTTTCTATCAAGTAACTTGGGGTAAAATTAGGATTCCGTTAAGAAACTGATAGATAAAGATATGGTAGAGTAGCACCAATAATAATAATTAGGAGAAAAAAATGGAAGAAACTAATATATACTCTCAGTTCATATGAAGCAAGTCTCCCATTTTTTCCAGAGGAATCACTTTAAGTATTTTGGTGATGTCCGATAAAACATAGATAAATCACCTTTAGATTCCTGATGTATGGAAGGGAGCATTCACTACCATATAATTATAGGCTAGGCCAATTTCCAGCCACTCGGATGCTCTTTAGATGTCACGCAAGAACCTTGATTTAGTATTTTTCATCAAGGTCCTTAAAAAATATAACTATAAAATATATCTCTGAAGTATTTTTCATCTACACTAGGTAAAACAAAAAAGGAAAAAATGGTTCCCACTCTCCTTGATGATCAGTTAACTCTCCCCCGACCATTACGTATTCTTTCCAATCAAGATCAAGCCACTTTCCCAAAGGAACTTCTCCACAACTAGGGAATCAAAATAATAGAAATTTTATTCTAATAAGAACACTTTTCATCATTTGAGGTGAAAAACTAAATCATGTTTTCCACTCCCAAATCATAGTTATAGTGAAGGCTAGACAACAACCATGCGCTATTGCTTCTACAGTCTGCACTTGCGATAGGAAAATATTTTATGCATGTTATATGAATGATGATATCAACTGCCTGTATCCATGTAACCTTGATAGTGCATAATGTTGTTATCTTTATGTTACCTGATCCCTGCTTGTATAGCTTTCTGCCAGTAACTTGAGTGCTGCACCTTTTGCATTTTGCATACGGTTCAATGCCATGCTCCCACTGGCATCAACCACAAAAATGACCTGCCATAGGTAAGCACGTCTAAGAATTAGGAGGCATCATAATTAACATTCAAAACGGGAAGTCTTCATCTAAACAATATCAAAAAACTAATATTTTGCTTGAACTTTACAACTCTCGAGGTTCTGAAATTATGCACCTCCGTAGAGAAATTGTAACTATCATGTCATTTACGCACATTTAATGTCTCAAATTCCTTATATGATACTTTTCTTGAAAATTTATACAACATTGGGATTGATAAAACGGAAGTTTTATTACCAAGGCTCCTGCCTTCCTAGCCATTCTCTTTGCCCTCATGTCACTCTTCTCGACAAAAACTTTCCTAATATTCTGAGTATCCTTTTCCTTCCGCAACTTCTGATATGGAGCAGCCGCTCTAAGCGTTGCATCAACTGCTAATCTCTTGACAGGCCCCTGAAAAATATGACGCTCAATAGAGAAGCATGTACATTAAACACCAAATAGAACTCACATGTCACTAATGAAAGGATCAGGAAGTTGATTGACCTTTGGAAGCATTGGCTTAATATATCGTCCTCTATCCTCCGAAAAGATAACATTTTTTGCCCTCCCAGCCTTACCTTTTCGTCTCTGTGCTTGTTGAGCAAAGAAAAGAAGTTTCTCATCCACCAAACCTCCTTCGGCATCAAAAATGAATTCTTCAGGTAGTTGTTCCTGCTGTTCATTCTCTTTGTCATCGTCTTCCTGGTTACAGAAGGAACATTGTTGGTTAATCAAATAAAGCATTTCAAAGTTAAACACAAGGCATATACAAATATTCCATTGAAAAATGCCAGGGAAAAAATTGCCTTAGACAACAATCACTTAAAGTGAGAGAAAATCATTGGCAATCTTTCTACATCAAACTGAAATTCTGATGGATGTAAAAAAACCTCTTGTTCTTCTTCCTCTTCATTTTCCTCTTCCCCAGATTCTTGATTTTGTGGAGGTGGTGGAGGTGGCGGAGGCTGTTGATTTTGCTGATCTGGTGGATTCTCATTGATGGTCGAACGAGGTAGAATGACTAGTTCAACCTATAGTGTGTAATATGTCAGAACGGAAAGCATGTATGTGCTGCCAAACTGAAATACGGCACTATACATTATATCACATTCACAACATAGAGGTAAGGAAGTTTTTCATCGAATGGAACACTTAATTGGTGAACATTAGAAAACATTAATCATTCCACCGGATGACAATACAAGACAGTTAATACCATTGCTCCTTTGGAGCAATTAACTAAAGCTTATACCACATGCACAAAATTCCCCATCAGAGAAGCTACCAAAGGACAACCCATGGACTTCTGGAGAAAGTAAAGAAACAAATCTACGATCATGAATAATACTCTAGCATATGTAAAAGCACAGCTATAGTAAGGAAGAATATTTTTCTA